ACGCTGTGCTATGTTGCGGTTTTTGGCATCGCGCAATGTTTGTCTTATTTTTTGTTACTAACTAAAGCGTTCGCTTGTGTATATGTGTATGCTTGTGCGCATTGAAATTACATTACTATAAGCCTTTTTGAACACCCACACGTACTTGCCATTCCATTCTTGCTTTTATATGGACATCCTACGGTTCGCACGGCTCATCTATGACAGCAGCTGTACGTGAAACGACGAAAAAGCAAGTTACAACGACAGCTGCTGCTACTATGGCTGTGACTGCGACCATGTCAGATACAAACAATTTTCTACACGCATACATATACATACATATGTATATGTGCATGTGTATGTATGTATAAGTACGTAGTTGAGCATGTATGTAGGTGTGCAGCTACAATGAACGACCATGACCGCACAACAAATGCTTTGATGCGTGCAAAAGCTAGTATGGAGTTGAGTTGACTTGAGGTGAGTAGTGGTGAAAGATAGAGTAGATAGACAAAAAATAAAATAAAAAATTTAAACAGTATCCAAACCAGCTGTGTGCTTTTAGCTACAGCAATGTGCGTACATATGTATGCGTCAAAGGAAAAAATTCCCAGCCGTTTTTGTTTTTACTTTCCTCAGTCTGTTGCTCGATTATTGTTGTATTTCTCTGCGACTACAGGCTTTGCAATAAAGCAAGCAATATGCCGAATACTGATATTTGAGTCCCGTTTTCATAAATACGGCCGTGTGTATACAGATTTTAAGCTTAAGCTCACAAATTTTTCAGTGTCAGCCGTTAATGTCATTTCATTTTTTGCTCCTACACAACACCAACCTGACCTCTACTTGATCTGCCTACATTTAATGAATGGCAAAGAAGTGCTAGCACAAAAGTTCAACGAAAATTTGATCACTTGGGACCCTACAACAACGGTGCTGCTATTCTGACGGCCGTGCCTCTCAGTCCCATTCTCAGTGCCAAGCCAAGCAGTCAGCCACTAAACTTCAGTCAACCGCTCAACCGCTCACCCGCTAAACTGCCTGCCTACATCTTCATTTTCAGTTTCCTACTACTCTCTTTGTCTCTTTAGCGGCATTGCAATGCGCTTCTTCGCTCATTGAGTATAGCACAGCACAGCGCTCCCCCCACTGCGTATACGTAACATTTGTGGTTAAAGCGTTTGTGCTTGCTTCTGGGCGCTTTACAGGTTAGATTCAATCAAATCAGTTGGCGCATAGCTCTATGGGTATCTTGTATACTATACTGTTTTTCTTTTATATACATAATTACATACATATGCGTAGTACTTCGTTAAGTAAAAGTTTCTGTGTATAGTATATACACCACTTATTTGTTAGTGTGTAAGTGGTTGTGAAACATTAATTTGTAGCTTTTTCTTATACATAAATATGTATAATTGAAATCCGGCAATTTCGCACTTTGTTTGTCCTTTCCATTTGGCTTTTCTCGGAGTGCCTCCCTTATTTTGTTGGTGTTATTCAGTTGACAGTTTAAAAGTCAGCAGTAAATGACATTTATTTGCAAAGTTGTACAGATTTAATAGAATTTTACAAATGGCATGACTAAAGTTCACAATTGCTGTACAAGTAAATATTAAAAGTTAACTCGCACATGCGATGGAGAATGAGGACCCCGGGCACGAGGAATGAATGAGAAATTAACTGCTTGTCAGTAGAATCGTTTAGACCTACCTTTGGTATTCAAATTCTTGCTGTCTGTTTGTGTGTGCGAACGTTCGACATGGTTGCGCTAAAGTTTTTGAAAAGCTAAAAACAGGTTACGATAAATTAAAATCCGAAAATAAATTTGACATGTATTTTTGTGAATCTTAAAACTGCGCATTAGTTTTTAGTCATTAAAAACTGAACTCAAATTTTTCATCAACTAAAAACTGAACATATGAAACTCTTTGACTTTCAAAAAGGACACACTTGCGACCTAATTTTTAGATATTTAAAAACTTGTCATAATTTTTAGGCAATTTTAAAAATTGTATATACATAATTTTTAGGCAATTTTGAAAATTGTATATACATAATTTTTGGTTTATACATTTTTAGTCGTTCAGAAATTGGACATCAATTTTTGGCAAATAAGAAACTAGAAATAATTTTTGTTAATTTAAAATCTAGACATAAATTTTTTGGTTATTTGAAAACCGGGCATAAACTTCTTTCGATAATTTTAAAAACATATTTTTTTTAATTCAAAAAGTGCACCTAACTTTTGGCAATTTAAAAACTGGACATAAATTGTTCATCATTTAGAAACCCACATACATTTTTTTTCATTCAAGGAATGGAAATAAATTTGTATAAATCATAAAACTGCACCTGAATTTTGGTGATTAAAAAACCGGACATAAATACTTGGTATTTTAAAAACTGCACCTAACTTTTGGCAATTTAGAAACTAGATATTATTTGTGGTTACAATTCTTAGAAAATTATTGGAAATTATTAGAAAATTTTTGGCAATTAAGAAAATATTTTTTGGCAATTTAAAACCTGGACATTTCTTTTTTAATAACTTAAAAATACTTTTTTTTTTATTTTAAAACTGCATGCAACGTTGGCGATTTAAAAACTGGATATAAGTAGATTTTTGGTCATTCATTCAGACTGGACAAAATTTTTAATAACTAAAAAGCTGGACATAAATTTTAGTAGTTAAAAATCTGGACATAAAATTTTAGGAATCGAAAGATTGGACATAACTTTTGGCAATTTAAAAACTATGCAAAAATTGTTAATTATTTAAAAGTCGGACATAAACTTCATCATTTAAAACCGGAAATTAAATTTTGGTCATTCAAAAACTAGACAAAATTTACATTTACTAAATAACAGGACATACATTTTAGTCATTCAAAAACTGGGCATTCATATTTGGTAATTTGAAAACTGGACATACTGTGAAGTGCAAAAATGGGTACATAGTGATTTTTGTCAATTATGTGCAAGGTTTTAAAGTAATTTTTTTAAAAGAATATCGTGCAAAAGCATATATGTACATAAATAGAACTTTAAAGATTTATACAGTCCTCAGAGAAATTCAAAAAGTTTGTATCAAAATTTTGAACTTTTTAATCTGAATTTTTAGCCGGTTAAAAAAAAATTGCGTTGATTTTTAATTTTTTTTAAATATTTTTTTTTTTGCTCAATGCACAAGACCTCGGAAGCTGGATGCAAGTGTTCAACCCTCACAGAGACGCGCTGTCTAAAAAGTAAACAGAAGTCCAGATTAGCTACTAAAATGAGGACTAAACTTGACACAAGTGGATTATCGCGATCGATACCGTCATTGCTCGATGAACAGAATGTAAAGCATATTACGGAAATACCTGGCTATTGGTTAGCCAGCCAGCGATCAGGTTCGGAACTATAAGGACTTTTTGAATAATTCAGTGAATATAGGGATGCATTTTTTGAGAACTCTTCTCCAAGAATGCAAGAATAAGAAGACATTTTGCAAGAAAAATGTAAACAAGTTGCACAAATGTGACGTCACAGAAACAGCGATTCTGTCAATATCACTGCGAGAGGAATAACAGAAGGAGATGGGCGCCATATTTCTTCTTTACCTTATGGGGAGGAGGAGGAGTATAGCCAGCTCCGCTAGCCTCAAAAAAAAGCTAACCTGTCAGCGCAATGCTGAAGAGCGTAACAAGAAAGCTATTACTGCCCTGTAAATCAGCAATGATGAAAAATGGGGCTCGAAGCCTCACATGGTCAACTGTTTGTATGTATGTACATAGAGTTGGTGCGTCCCATGCTGTTTTACATGATACAGAAAAAATCTAAAGCGTAGATCACTACCTATTTCTCTGCTCTACATTGGCGAGAGGTCGTCGAGGCTCGTTTCTTTACTAGTCTCTTTTGTATGTTTAGCTGAATCGGATTCAGCTAGTCTCTACGATTTTGGGAGCTTCATGAGAGCTACTCAATGATTTTATTTCTAAGATAAAAACAGGGGCACAAGGCGTCTCCAATACGTCAAATCAATGAGCCCATGGTAGCCTAAGTGTGCGCAGTGATGAATGAGTACAGCCAAGATAGAAAACCTCAACTCTTAGCACTGATTTGGAGCACTGACTAATACGTAATTCTATATATTTAACAGTGGTTCGAATGAATATCCAACAAATAGTAAAAGCGTAGTAAACCACAAACGATTATGCGGTTAGTGTAAGAAGAAGGGATAATTTTTTAAATAAGAAACAATGAGAAAATTAAATTCTTCAAAAATCGCGAAAGGACCCTAAACGTTTCGAAAATTCACAATTAGCTCTGAGAGAATTTAAAAAAAATTCGGAGCTATGGCAAATATATTTTTCACTTATTTATTAATGTCTAAGCAATAGAAATAAAAATCACCAGTTGTTTATTATCCAAAAATATAAGACACATTTTGAATAAAACCAAATCATCGTTTCTTAAATATTTCCCAAAATTTACCAGCGCCAAAACTAAACATTCTTCATACCTGCTTACGAGTGCTCCCCCTCCCCCTCCCCCCTAACAAGCTATAGCTCAGCCAACCCTACCCTAATCGAAGTATTTTGCGTATCTAAGATTGGTTAATTCACAGTACACAGTTCGTTGTAACAAACTTCATTTACTGCAATTAAAACTTTTAAATAATAAGTTTGCGTTGAGTAAATAATAATAATAATATAGCGACCAGCTGCTTAAACGCAAAGCTTCATTGTATTAAATCAGTGAGCAAAATTAATAAAAGTCCAGTAGGTACACCGTGTCGTATGATAAACCTTTCGCCAACAGATTCTCTATTTAGCTCCACTTTGTAGCTATACATACAAGCACACGTCTAAAAATACACACAACGTCCCACGCAATTTCTTTTTCTCCCTCTCTAACTTTTTATTAACTTAGTCTTCTGAGTTTGTAGTAAAGAATTTTAAATCCTCTTTGTAAAATTCTTCAGCACTTAAAAACTAATTTAATATTACATATCTTTAATAAATTTTACTCACCATTTTGCCCTGCAATGTACGGTAGCAATATGCCAACAGCATCCAACGCAAGAAATATGCACACACAAAAAAAAGAACAAAAAAAAGAGAAAAATAGTGAGAGCAAATAGAAAACTGTCAGTTACACGAAATTCAAAGTATGCATCAAGCTGTGGAATTTCAACGTTGAAGTGTAATACATATTTAGCAGCAAGAAAGTGCACAGCATATCAAAACAATGCCGCGCCGCGCCCCGCCCCTCACTGCCGGCGTGCCAGCGTCAAGTGAAGCCCTTCGCCTTTTTCATTTGATTTTATTTCATTTCCAATCGGTTGACCCCACTTACCACGAGCATGAGCAACAGCAACACCAACAAAAGCAGCAGGGTTTCTGTGATTGTTGCTGCTGTCGTTGTGTTGTGTTTGCTGTCATCGCTGCCGCCGCCGCTGCTGCCGCTGCCGCTGCCGTCGTCGTCGTCGTGCCCGTCATCATCGTCTCGGGCAGTAAGCTCGCCCCCGCATTCCCCGTTGAACCACCGCGCAAACTTGTTGTTGTTGCGCCCATCGCACTTGTCGTAGTGAGCTTGCCGCCCACATGTATGCCGCCCGTATTGAGACCACCACTATTGCTACCACTACCACCGCCACCACTCTGTGCAGCTGCTGCTGCGGCCGCCGCCACCACTACCGACGACGAAGAAGTGCTGATGCCACGGAGGTGACATCCCGACGGTAGCTCTGATACGGTGCAAGACATTCTACGTAAAGAAAGTAAAAAAGTGCAAAAAATATGCACGAATTAGCGTAAGTTGCATATAGTGGATGTGTGTGTGTGCGTGAATGAAAAGGTCAGTGCAATATGGCGTATGCGCAACATGTTTCAACATTTTATCATACACCTCCACTTCGCTTTAGTACTCACATAATATTTATGGTTCCTTTGGTTGCCTACGCCCTGCGTCGCTAAATCGTCTCTTCGCTGGCTACTCCGCCTCGTCGCCCACTTTCAGCACCTTCCGCTGCCTGTCAGCGCGTCAATTTCGTTCTTTTCAACTGTCAACGCCGGCGCTGCACTTTGTAATGTAGCAGTGGTAATAGCACACCTGCAATTCACAGCTCGAGGATATGTAGCTTAGGTTTTGTGGTTTCCGTTGGTAGCTGACACTGCGTAGGCGGCGGACGAAGTGAAGGAGCGTAAATTGAGATGTGACAGGTTCTGCAAAGCGCACAATATCTGAAAAATGAGAGGAATATAATATCAGTTGAATGAAATATAATTTCCGGTAAGTTATTTACGCTAAAGTGCTTAGTTAATATACAAAATGGAAATTGAGTACCCCTCAGCTTTTAGAATCTCATTAGATTTTTAGATTATTTAAGCTTTATATGACTTTCACTTAGACGCTGTTGGGTTGTTAGTTGCTATAACACTATTTTTTTTTTTATAATAAACTTTGTAGGTTGAGTTCATCGGTATAAAAACTGCTATAGACCAGTCAGTCTGGTCGAAATAATTTCCTAACGGATCAAAAAAAATCATATGGACTTCATCAGAAAATTATACTGACTCAAATAATAAATTTTTTTGTTGATTTTCCCGACAAGGCGGGAATATGATTTATTTTAGAACGAATTTCTGTCATCGCTTGTCAAGTTTGGCTTGTAGACAAGACGGCCTTCGGCACCGTGCCATCTTCAGTGAACGAAAAATTACAATGCAGATGGCACAACGTCGAAATTAGTTTGTCTCCAAACCAAACTTGGCAATCTATACAATAAATAAAATTGTGGCAAGCCAATATCTGTATATTATAGTTTGATATTAAAGAAAAATTATATGTGGGGACTTTGTTGGGGCAACAGAAGCCAAAACAACATTTTAGAAATTTTTTCTGTCTGTCTGTATGTTTGTATGCGCATCACTCTAAAACTAATGCATGAAATTGAATGAAATTGCCATCAGTACATTGCTAGCAGTGTAACTTAAAATACAGGAGAAAAATGATTAGAGAGTTGGCACCTATTTGAAAATTGCAGTTTAAATAAATTGATAAGATAGAGTAAATATTGCAAAGAAAGAGAACTCCTTCATTTATATAGCTAGAAACAAAACAATTTTCGCTCATTATCAATAGAAAGTTTACCGAAAAAATGAGAAAGATCGGACCTATTTATTGCCTCCATACAACTGATTGTTCAGATATGGGGTTTTACTGTAAAACTCCTTTATTTGGACAGCATAAACCGAGAAATTTCGTGAGATATTTTATAAATAATCATAAAAAATCTACTAAGAAAATCGTCAAAATCGATGCTGTATAAGCTTTATCCCCTATACCACTGATTGTTCAGATAAAAGTTTTTATGATATGACTCCTTTATATAGGAAGCTAAAACCATTAAATTGTGTTACACACCGATCATACAGCAGTCAAAATCACTTAGATTGGTGCTATATAAGGTATATCTTCCATATCTACCTCTGATTGTTTATATATGATTTTTTATATATGTGACCTGGTCTACGGAAAGGGGGCTTAGGTGTCAAAAAATCAATTTTCACTTTTTGGTTGATTCGGATGGAAGATGAGATGCTTTTTCACGTGGTGAAAAGCAGAAAATCCTAACTTGCTT